CAACCCAGATGTCCTCCAGATATGATAGATTTAGAACAGTGACTAAATACTATGTAGCTTAACACATCTGGAAGACTATACTGAAGTACTGGTACATATCAAATCCTTAGGGGAAAAATAGGAATGATGCCACATCTTTGCATATAATATTCAACTTTGTTAGGAGGAGTGTGGTAATGTTTGGAACTATAGGAGGCATAGAAATAGGCATTTCTTGAGAAGAGGCTTTCCTCAGAAGCTTCTATTTTATTTTGAAATGGGACAAATCACCTTATGGGTTCTAATAGGACATCATGAAAATAGCACCATCCAAGTTTTCACCAGACTGAAGCAATGGTGGTAAAGGTTAAATTCCTCCTTCAATACAGAAAATAGCTTACAGGTTAAATTCCTCCTTTAGTACATAAAATAGCTTGCATGTCCCTGTAAAGCTGATGCTATATTTATTTAGAAAATAATCCTGCACATTAAAGCAAAATATTTATTTAACACCAGAACTAAGTCTCAGGAATAAAAGAGAAACTAAGATGTATCTTTTTTTAAAAAATCAATAGTCTCCCCAGCCTACTTCCCAGTTTCCTTTTACTATCAAGACACCAGCCATGGTATAAACTTCAGAAGGAACAGTGAAAGAGGGAATTGATCCTAGTTCTATTTTCTGTTCTCTTAATACCTACTATTATACTGAAGAGGGAGGGAGAAAAGGATTGAGATTTTTATCAACTTCATAGCTGGAAGGAAAATTAAATACCTGTTATATGAGGAAGATGGGAAAGCTACACGGATTTTTCTTCCTGAAGATAGACAGTTGAATTTAACTTTAGTTTCTTACTTCTCTGAAAGGAGTTTTTAGTGAGTTTATTGATAAACCTTAGTCTGACTGCAGAATTGTCATGCAGTTTACAAGGAAGGCTCTTAGTGATCCATTATGGTCAGAATCAGGTGATCCATCTTTGCTGATTTTTAGTCCTCTTTTTCCGGAGTTCCTGCTGTCACCAGTCCTCATGTACATTTTCTCTGTTGGTTAGTAACAAGGAAACCTTTTATGCTTTCTTCCACTTTCTGAGGGAGAAAATTGTCAGTAACATTCACGGAATTTGTCTCCCAACAGAATAATTATCCCCCTCCCTCCATCACTATTGTTATATGTCCCTGAAAGATCTACAGCTTGTTGTTGGTGACCATGATTCCTATCCTAATCAGGCAGGCAGTATTCAATATCAACAGTGTTTTCATTTATCCCTCCATTTATTTCTAGAGTATCTCCAAGTTGATCCATTTGGATTTTTCATCAGATATGGATACTTTTAGCAAAGAGTGCACTTCCAATCTCCTTCTATTTCTTCCATTTCTTTTGAACAAATGGTGTTACTTAGATTGCTATTTTCTACTTATTGAAGTCATCCCACCAGGCCTCTGTTAACACCCGTTAAACATTTTAGTCTTCCTCTACAAGGAATTCAACTTCATCTTTAAAAAAAAATTCACATACTGGACTATGGTAATAGAAGCTATAACCTTTATGAGCAAGTGTTCTTTCTGCTTTTTATTGAATGGTTTAATAGGATCCCTTACAGCCCACTCTCAACAGTGTTCATGTCTTTATCTGTCTATATTTATGTATTTGTCTTTATTTGTGATTCAAGGTAAAGCTGTCCTGGTCAACTCTGTTATGGTTTTGCAAAAACCCCTTTTACATTCCATATGCACTTCAGCCCCATGATTCTTTTGTTTATGTTCTTGAAAGATGCAGCTACCTGCCTTCTGCCCTTCATTGTCCTACCACCTGTTTATCAAAGTCCATTTTTCTTCCCACAAATGCTTAGAGCCTATTTCATGTTTGAGGGCCAGCAAGCAATTTCTCAGTATAATCTCTGCCTCTTATTTCTGATGGTTACTGTTATCCCTTGGATTTCCTCCTTCATATAGTTAAATAATCTTCATATAATATAACTAATATGTTTGTTCCGTAGACATAATATTTTCCTCTGTTATATTAAAATTTCAATTTAGAGGACTCTGAAGATATATTCAAGATCTGTCTAGCAAGGTAGCCCTCAACTTACAGCCACAGTTCAGACTGGAACTTCTTTTGCCAAGTGAGGTAGTCATTAAATGAATTGTGCCCAATTTTATATTTTTTTTGCCATGGTTGTTAAACGACTCACCATGGTTGTTAAATGAATCACACAGTCATTAAGCAAATCTGGCTTTCTCCATTGATTTTGCTTGCCAGAGTGTATTTGGGAAAGTTGCAGATGGTAATTATGTGACCCTGGAATGCTGCAACCATCTTAAATGTATCCTGGTTGTGCCAGACCACATGACTGCAGGAATGCTGCAATCTACAATTTTAAGGCTCGGTCATAAGTCACTTTTGTAACTTCAAATGGTTTCTAAATGAATAGTTGTAAAACGAGGACTATCTTGTAGAATCTCATCTCTGTTAGCATCTGGCAAAGTAAATGCCATCCTAAGCAGGTGTCCCAGCCTTATGGTTTCTGTTTTTAAATTCAGTACTGAATGGGTAATTTACAATTCCTCCTCCTTGCAGTCTCTTGTGCCAGGCAGCAAGTTGTTACCTCAAACATTTGAATCAAAATTTTCTTGAGGGAGATATGCTTACTTTGGGGTGTAGCAAAATGAGATTACCCCAGTCCCTCTTTTTTTGTTCTTTTGGAAAGTGCAGTCAGAACTCTGGGGAAAAAAGAAGAAAATCTGTGCCAAGGCTTTGGGGAGAAAAAGAGTACTAAGATTTATTCTCTAACCTCTGGTTGAAGTTGGATTTTACAGGAAGAAGGGTTTTCCAACAAATTGACAGAGATAACATCTGTTCAAGTTCTTTTTTCTCTAGAGGAACAGGAAAAAGTTACCTAAGTACTGAGTTTCTTTTTTCTCCGTATCTGCTAGTTAATACTGCATTGTCTCTGGCAACTATTCTGCACAAGATCACTGATAATATTTTATGTGCACATCGGAATGGCCTGTAAACTGGAAAGTGACCAGCATCTAACATTAGGTCTGTCAGAAAGTTATCTTTTCCCGTATATTTTTCCATTGTAAAAAAAAATCTATTTTTATAAGTAAAAAAGTTCTGTTTGTTTTAATGCTGCCTGTTTGCTATGGGGCCCTCTCTCTCTTACATGTTGGAGTTAAGGAAGACTCTCTCTCCCTCCCTCCCTCCCTCCCTCCCTCTCTCTCCCTCTCTCTCTCTCTCTCTCTCTCTCTCTCTCTCTCTCTCTCTCTCTCTCTCTCTCTCTCTCACACACACACACACACACACACACACACACATGCTTTTTTAGAGTCTTGATGAATATGAGTTGAAGGAATAGGTAGAGTTAGTAGATGTATCTCTGCTACTATTTTTTTCTTCAGTGCATCACACATATTTTCCCCATATAAGCGAATGATAATGATTGACTTATTTAGATAAAAGCAGAACATTGTGTTTGTGGACATCATTGGGATATAAAGATCATAAGCCTATATGTAATAAGCCTATATTACAGATTTATCCTCGCATAGAAATTTGTTCTTCCATTGTAAGAAAATATAGTTTCAGTTTAAATATGGTGTTTTGGGGGTGGATAGGATGTGCCTTTGAATCAGTATTGACTGCCTGGAAAATTCCCTGCAGTTTTCTTGGCAATATTTCAGAAATGGCTTGTTATAGTTGTCTTCCTTGGGCTGAGAGAAAGTTACTGGCTCAAATTCACCCAACTAGCTTTGTGTCTAATTCAGAACTCACGGTTTCCCAATTTCTAGCCTGGTGCCTTAACCGCCAACAGTATGGCTTTCTTCAGTTTACATAATATGCTCTCTGCATATCCTGCACTTAAGTCACACTGTTTACTGATGGGAGAAAATGATCTTTTACAGCACGATTCAGAACTTTCCCTTTCAGAAAATGTGGAATCGTTCTCATACACACAGATACTCATATACATTCAAACATTTGTTGCTAATATTTTAGCCTGTACAGGAAAATGTTGTTTTTCTTTTAAAAGAATGAACTTGCAGTCTATTAGCTAATCTTTGCTGCACTGGTTATCGACTTGTTTCCAGGTCCAAAACAAGGTGCTGGTGTGGCACTGACTTATTTGAGGGACTGCCTTTTCCTGATTTCATTTCATTTGTGCTTGTTCCATCAGATCCAACAGAATAGGCAGTATTACAGATTATGTTATCTAGGGAGCTACATTTTGTGGGTCCTAAGGCATTTCTGCTATGGCCCCCACACTGGAATCTTTTTTTCCCAGGTGAGGATGGCCTTCTCACTGCTAAACCTATGAAGGTCCTTCAAGACTTTGTTATGCCAAGTCTTGAAGGCTTGGGAACCTCGGTGGATGGGTGAACCTAATGAGGTGGTTGCATTACTATTAACATCCCTTTTCTATTATTCTTGTTTTACTGTTTTTATAGTTTTAAAATGTTTTTTGTTAACAGTAATGATTTTAGATACTTAGATGCCAGAGTCAATTGGATTGAAATGAGTGGCTATAGAAATTGATTATTGCTTGACTGATTGATTATTTTAATTTTTTTGTACGCTGCCCAGAGTTTCTTATGAGACACATATAATATTAGTATTATAAAATAACAAATGGCTCTCCAAATGCCATTAATCCTGGATTCATTCATACTCATTTCACTGCTGGGAGTTGTACTTCAGCAGTGGCTGGAGGACCATAACTTCCCTGTCTTTGTACTAAAATTAGAAAAGACAAGAAACAATGATTTTCAAAGAAAGTAAAATAGTTCATGAGAGAAAAGAAGACTTTCAAAAAGAATGGACATGATACCTGAGAATCTAAGTACCGTATTCAGTAATCTTGCATAGGCCTTGAATAAATGCAGCATTGCTAACCTAAACTACATTTATAATGTCCTTTAGGAGAAAATGTCTAGCTGACAACTTGTGAGTTTCTGCTGTTACAATGTTACTTATGCAAATGCTGATTAGATTTGTTTTTTCTTCTGTTTTTTTTGTTTTGAAGGATATCAATCAGAAATTGCAGGAAGACAACCAGGAGCTGCGAGACCTTTGTTGCTTCTTGGATGATGACCGGCAGAAAGGCAAAAAAGTATCCCGTGAATGGCAGAGGCTTGGCAGGTATAGCGCTAGCATGATGCATAAAGAGGTTGCCTTATATTTGCAAAAGCTGAAGGAACTGGAAGTAAGGCAGGAAGAAGTTGTGAAGGAAAACTTGGAACTGAAGGAGCTTTGTGTCTTATTGGATGAAGAAAAGGGTGGTGTTGCTGGCTGCCGAAATTCAATTGATAGTCAAGCCAGTCTTTGCCAATTAAATGCCACAAGTACATTCATAAGGGATGTTGGAGATGGGAGTAGTACCTCCAGTACCGGGAGCACTGATAGTCCTGATCACCATAAGCACCATTCAAGCTCAAGTCCTGAGCACCTCCAAAAAACAAGGAGTGAGGGAAGTCCTGAGCATCAAAAGCACCGGAGTGCTAGTCCTGACCACCTCCACAAACCTCGTAGTTCTGGAAGTCTTGACCATCAGAAGCATCTAAAAGGACCAAGTCCAGAACATCATAAAACCCTAACCAAAGGTACTTCAGAGCAGCAGAAGCACAGTTGTAGCAGTCCAGAAACACTGCCAAAGCATATGTTGAGCGGGAGCCCAGAACACTTTCAAAAGCATAGGCCTGGGAGCAGTCCAGAACATCAAAAGCACAGCAGCAGTGGAAGCCCTGAACTTCTTCAGAAGCATGCTCTGAGTGGAAGCTCAGAACACCTCCAGAAAGTGAGGGGCACTAGTCCTGAGCATCTGAAACAACAGCATTATGGGGGAAGTCCAGAGCACCTCAAACATTTGGGCAATGGAAGCAGAGAAGGCACCTTAAGGAGACAAGTTGCAGATGATCTGTCACCCCATCATAGGGGCCACTACAATGGGATGAATGGTGGGTCTTCCTTAGTTATTTTTATTTATTTATTTATTTATTTATTTATTTATTTATTTATTTATTATGATGCTAGGGGCAATGATTGAGATTTTTCAAAGTGATGGGCACCAATCAGAAAAGGGGCATACCAAATGGTATGTGGCATATTCACAATGAAGCCATTTTTTTATTTTGTCCTACTAAGCAGGAATCATTTTTGCATTTGTTCTTTCTGAGAAGTGCAGATGAAATTGAAGTTTGCATTGTTGTAATAGGCTGCAGAGCAGTTGCATTTCATGGGCTTTGTGTGAAAGTACTTTACCTGAATGGCAAGGCATTGAAGTAAAGTGGTGTGAGTCTGAGAGCATGTAAACTTACCTTAGAAGGGAGAGGTAAAAATGAAATGAAGGGAAGCGTCCTCAACTCAAGGAGAAGATTTTAAAGAGAATTGGTGTGTGTGTGGGGTGTCTTGGCATATCTTAATTAGCGTCTGTTTCCTTTATGCTTAGGTCTTGGTTTGTTTCAGATGCCTAATTGAAACATATTGATATTAACTGATAATCTTAATAACTTTGAGGAAGGGGACTATGCTTCTCCAAGTGCTGTCTTTTGGGGAGGTGTCTTGGTGCCTTCATTTGGCAATTTTCTTAAGAGTGTGTTTTATTTTTGGATGGATAGCTATTGACCTTTCATAGAGGAAACTACAGTAAAAAAAAGTACAGAAAACAGGTATAATTTCTATGAGTCTAATATCCATGTAGTGTTCCTATCTTGAGATGAGTGCAGATTTCTTTGAGAAAAAAATATATAGGCAATATAGTTTGGCTGTTATTTGGGGTATTTGTTTATTTGTAAGTTTAATTACTTTTTTTCTGGAAATGTTTACAAAGCAAAAATGGGTTTGCTGGCATTTAGCTTTTTGAATGTATTTGTGATGGCAGACTGACATTTGAACAGTTTCCTCTAGAATGCAAATATACTTTGAACTAGCGCCACAGGAGGCATGCCAGGCTATAGAGGCACTATGGATTATTTTAAAGATATTGTTGGACAGATGCAGGTCTCAGTGATTATTTAGAACAATGTGCTCCAATTATTTGTAAATGTTTTGGCCCATAACAACAAAAAACAAAATATAAAGTAACATTCCAAAATTATAACTTTCAGTACAGCCCACATATGGGCAAAAAGCAGATTCTTTGATTCCTATATGGGAATTTTTTAGATGTCATTCCTCCACTCCAATAAAATCTGAAACAAGAATATCTATGGATTGTTTTGATTCATTCTCACTAACTGTGTTTGAATCTACTATTTTTGTGCATCTTTCTTTCCACTCTCAGAAAGAGAAAGAGGAAGAGATAAATTGCTGAGTAGATTAACTATGTAAGCTCCTGGAGATGATGGATGAATAGCTTGATAACTTGGTTCAGATAGAATTGGGCAGCTTCCTAAGAACTTTGGAAGAACTTCACTTAATATTATGATATATGATATATTGAATAGCATTTAATGTATGTAAATGTAATTTGTATTGAATTTACTAGTGTTAATTTATCAGTCAAAATGAAAAGGCTGTTTGTAATCTTGTTAGCTCCAGTATCGCTTTTTGATATAAATCTATCAAAGCTAATAAGAAAGATTTTATTGAAACTTACATCAATGTCATCTTAAATTTTATGACATTCCTCTCTGATTAACTTCACAATTTTGTTGCCTTAACCCTGGAGAAGGTAAAGTTTAAATGTTTGGGGGAAAGGAAGGTGAACTTAACTTCTGAAAGGCAGCTGTGGGAGGCCATCTAGTGATACCGGGATATTGACCATTCCTTTTAGCCTTTTTTTTTCTTTTTTTTCCCCGCAATTTTTTTTTATGGTGAGGACGACAAGAAGAGAATGGCCCCTAGAGGCAAACTGTTCAGTTTCCTACTCTTATACCACTTAGAAATGGGTGCAACTTCTGGTGCTATTTTGTCCCTTTTAGAGATGTAATCTGAGAGGGCTAGGAATGCTGCAAATCGGATAAAGGAGCCTTGCCTGTGTGCTATGGCTTATTTACCTTAACTTCATAAACCGTATTAGTTTAGCTTCACCTGCACTATCCTATTGAACTTCTCAGAAACATTTAATGCCTTTCACCATATTTAATATGTGGGATGACTTGCGAGGGTTGGAGGCACCACATTATAATGGTTCTGCTCCCTTTCTGTCCCATCAAATCTTATTTTGAAATTAACTTCTGTTTTCTAGGAGATTAATATTCCTTTCCTATTCCTCTCCCACCTCCTGAATGTTCTCCCCTCTGCAAATTTGATATAGATTGACTGGTTGATAGTTCTCTGGGTTCTGTTCCCCACCTCCTGTTTTTGTTTTTATTTTTGATACAAGGAAACATTGCCCTCTTCTAGTCATCTGGCGCTTCATCCATCCTCAGAGATTTCTCAGAGCAGGAGACAGAAATGCTTCACTTTCTCCCAGTGTTCATTGATTGTTTTTTCCCTGCTGCTTAGGATCAAGGTTGCTGCTTATGTGCCTTCTTCCATCTTAATAATAATAATAATAATAATAATAATAATAATAATAATGATGATGATGATGATGATGATGATGATGATGATGATGATGATGATGATGATGATAAAGTTGGAAGGGACCTTGCAGGTCATCTAGTCCAACCCTATACGATTTCGGACAAATGGCTGTCCAGTTTCTTCTTAAAAACTTCCAGTGTTGGCGCATTCACCGCTTCTGGAGGCAGGTTGTTCCACTGGTTAATTGTTCTAACTGTCAGGAAGTTTCTCCTCAGTTCTAGGTTGCTTCTCTCTTTGGTTAGTTTCCACCCGTTGCTTCTTGTCCTGCCTTCAAGCGCTTTGGAAAATAGCTTGACTCCCTCTTCTTTGTGGCAGCCCTTGAGATATTGGAACACTGCTATCATGTCCCCCCTCGTCCTTCTCTTCGTTAAACTAGACATACCCAATTCCAGCAACCGTTCCTTATATGTTTTAGCCTCCAATCTCCTAATCATCTTTGTTGCTCTTCTCTGTACTCTTTCTAGAGTCTCAACATCTTTTTTACATCGTGGTGACCAAAACTGGATGCAGTATTCCAAGTGTGGTATTAATACTTCATGTGATCTTGATTCTATCCCTCTATTACTGAAGAAGGAGGCCAGAGATTCCCTGGACAGACCACATACATAGCTCCTAACAGAATTTTAGAGTAGTTAAAATTCCCTTTTACTATTTATTAAGTCTTTGATAGATGTGCAGTTTTCTTTGAGAAAATGTATCTTCTCCTTCACTGGAAATTTAGTACTATCAGAGCTATTGCTTTTTCCTGCCTTCCACTTACTTTACCTTGAGGCTCTGTATTATGCTGAGTATCTTTAACAGTTTAATTTGCTGTGTCTTCTTAGCATTATGGTTTCTTTCTAAGCTGTGTCACTTGTTATGCCTTCGATTCTTTTTTTTTTTTCTTGAAAGTTCCATCTCTTCTTCTTTTTTTCTTTATGGGAAAATTTAAAAGTTAATTCACACATGCACATTCACAGCTTGGTATCATTTCACTTAGTTTCTCAACATTGCATGGCTGGCAACTGAATGTGTTAACCGTGCCTGCTAAAACGTCTTGCATTTGAATGATTATTCAATGTTGCACTTAGAGGGAGATTTACATGGGTGAAAAGAAAAGAATGATTGTGGGCAGTATTCCCCACCATCTGTCCACTTCTTAGGTAATATCTGTTGTCCCTGGAAACTATTTCTTGTAAAATTGCTTCCAGAATAGTGAATGTTAAAAATGCATGTACTATACGTGACTAAATCCTGTTCCTTTCTTTCTATGTGACAAGAATAAAATGGAATAGAAAATACATCGATAGAATCCAAGGTTGGAACTCATCAAATAGGTCACCACCACAGCAAGTACAGAAACCCTGCAATATGTTATAGAGAAGCATTTTATATATTAATGTTGCTTCTTGCATAGACTAGTGTATTGAAATGATTCTTGAGCATTCTTTACAGTTCCTGTACAGGTGAACTATGGAATATTGGCTTTGATAGGATATTTGATTTCTTTCTATTTATACATTAAATGTTATTAAGAACGTGGTCTCTTATCAAAATTGACAGCTCTTTTTCTCTACTTTGGGCTGTGTGTTCCCATCATTGAATATAGATGGGAAGGAGAAAAAAAATTGAATACTGGGATGGAGTTGCCTTCTTTGAATTCATTATGGCATTGTAGAAAGATGGACTGGAACAACTTGACAAGTACTTGTCTTTTTAAGCTCCTGTCCCATTTTGGATGCCATCTATGACAGAGGCCCCAACCTTTTGGGCACCAGGGACTGGTTCCATGGAGAGAGGTTTTTCTGCGGACCAGAGAGGGCATGGTTTCATGTACTGCCTGCATCCCTTGGATGGGGCTTTGCTTGTTTGCGTGGATCGGTTTCTGGCATGCCACGGACTGGTGCCACTCCACGGACCGGGAGTTGAGGGCCCCGATTTATGATACTCTTCAAATTGTTACAAATCATTATATGCCTCTCTAGGGTCACATAACATGCTATTTGGAAATACTTGACACTGCAGTCATAGCTCCAACTTTGGTAAAGGTTGGCTATCTCACAACAATCAGATATGATGAATTCTTGCTGATAAATATGATCAGTAGCCTAAGTACTCTCTTAAAGAAGCCTTCTATGGTTTTATTACAAATCCCTTTTGCTTGTCTGGGAGTGCCCTTCATATTCTGTTTTGCATCTAAGGAAAATATCAAAGGCTGCTGCTTTGCTTCTCACTCCCTGTTGAGGTTATTAATGAGCAAAAGTAAAAGTGCTGACTAACACTCTCTGGCAACAGTCTGGAGGTGTGATACATCAGGAGATGAACAGATCCTTTAGAGAAACAGCAGTTGTTTAAAGAGGCAGGGGTGACAAGAAAAGAGGTTATTTATGAGAATTTGGACTCACAGCTGTTCAAAATGTATGTTGGGGGAGATCCGGTTGCGAAATAC